GCAAATCACAATAATATATTACATAAACTCAATCATTCATGTCTTAGTAGAATAGATACTTGGATGCCAGCCACAGTTACATATTAGGAGGCTTAAATAAGCTTCATTGCCTAATGAAGTACAGCATTGATGGTTAAACTATTACTAAGTATATTACAATCCATTACTTTTTAAGTCAAAAGAATAATGGATCATAATATAATTCAAAAGATATTATTGTCTAAGCAATGGAGGAAAGGCAATGAACAAAAGATTTAACAAAAGTATAGAAATAGGCCATATTAGTCTTCCTTTGCTTTAGCTTTCTTGGCTGGACTGTCTTTGATATTTGCAGGTGGACCATACGGTTTTGCAGGTTCTTTGGCAAACTCTTCAGGAGCCTTTGTTGGATGTTTAGCATGTGTGTCTGCTGGTAAATCTTCTGGAAACTCAAGGCTTCTTTTTGCTCCACTAGTTGCAGGTGTTTGGCTGTCTTTGTAAGAACTGGCTCCAACAATTTCTTCAAGTACCAACTTTGTGGTTGGTGTGAACAATTGATCCTTTGATGATGTTTCTGCATGCCTTGCTGATGAACTGCCAAGTGCAGAAGAAACTTGAGTGTTTTCTGGAAGTTCCAGTGGAAGGGGACAGTGTGATAGTTCAGCTGCAGTGTAAGCCTTAATGACAGTATTCTTTCTCTGCAGTTGACCTTGGAAGGGAGTCTCATAGGATTTCAGAAAACAGACCACCGTGTACTTTTTCAAGGCATCATTAAGTTCAGGAGTGAATGGCCCAAAAGGTCACTAAACTATTAAAAATGGCACCTTCTGGTCACCAAACTCTTTTTATGGCCGAAAAGGTCACTAAACTCGCAAAAACTCTCCATCAGAGTTATTTTACCGAATTTCAGCGGTTCCTCATCCGATGGAATGGGCAATGTGGATTGGAGAAATAAAGTCAAGGGCAAAAATGTCTGAAAGGTTATTGGAATAGGTGAAGCCATGGATTGTCTCATTCACAAACCAAGTTTGAACCCATAGATTGAAATAGTCTTCTCTGCGGTAAAAATAGTGACTTTGGCCGCCTGTAAACCAAATCAAAACAGCAAATAACGAGTATTTACAGCCTAAACCCATCTCAAAAATAAGAGCAGCCGAGGAAATTGTGAAACTGGTGATTTCAATGGACTGGGTAAAGCGACGAGGGATGAGTTGGAATCTAGAAGGTACTATCCTGAGAATCTAGACAGTTTCACCTGAACTGTTAAAAGAAGATCTAAAACCAATTTGATAGCCGCCGGCCGGAATTTCATCTCCTGCGGGCGTTCAACTATTTCATTATTTGGATCTTCTTTTACCATTCCCTCTCCCAAGCAAAACAGGTCGAAATCCAACTTCAAATTCCAAAAACCCTTTCTCCAGAATCGCCAAAAGCTCGATCTTTCTAACCTTAAACCCTCGATTTCTTTTGCTGTATCTTGTTGTTTGAAACCTGTAATGTGCAAACTATGATGTCTTGCTCCAATATATCGACAACGGTCTCCTTAAAACCTTCAATTTGTGACCCCTCTTCAATTTCTTCCTCATCTCAGCTCAACCCCCATCGCATATCAAATTATCAAACAATTACAGATACAAAAAGGTTTGATGTTTATCATATTTCGAGAGTGCCCCTTTTTCAAATGGCCACCGTGAGCTCAGGGAGCGGATGGAAACAGTAAAAAACACCCAAAAAGTGACAGAAGCAATGAAGCTAGTTGCAGCTGCAAAAGTGCGGAGAGCCCAAGAAACAGTAATCAATAGCATACCATTTGCAGAGGCCATTGTTGAAGTATTTTTCAATATCAATGAGCAGCTTCAGTTGGATGATATAGATGTTCCTTTAACAAATATTAGGCCAGTCAAGAAAGTTTCGGTTTGGCTATGCAATCTTTCACTGTTGATCTCTTCTATGATTCTATCCCAAGCCTCTCAATTCCAAAACTTTTGAATTCGTTCAATGTGCTTTTTTGGGTTTTGCAATTCTCAGGATAGTACCTTTCGGCCATTTTTGCCCCTTTACTATATTCCTCCACTCCACATTGCCCATGCCACCGGATGAGGAACCGTTGAAATTCGGTAAAATGACTCCGCTGGAGAGTTTTTGCGAGTTTAGTGACCTTTTCGGCCACAAAAAAAGTTTGGTAACCAGAAGGTGCCATTTTTAATAGTTTAGTGACCTTTTGGGCCATTCACTCTAAGTTCAGTATCTATTTCAAAGCCCTGCACCAGAAAATTTTTTTAGTTAGGTTCAGTGAATTCCTTTCTATGTATATTTGTCTGTATGGCTGAATATAAGATAGAAAATTCATACTTACATCTTCTTGTGCTTGCTTAAGCTGTAGTGGAGTGAACTCAATCAATTTTTCAGCATCTTCTCTAGATATAATGCAATGTATTGAGCACGAAGCATCAGTTATAATAATTGGAATGCGAGCCCTTTAATTGAGTGGAGGAATTAAGATTAATATATGGTAACAAACGCGAATAATGTTTAATTTAGAACCATAAGTTAATGATCTAACCTGAGTTCAACTTCACTTTGCTGTTTGCATGAAGGACAGTGGATGATCCAGTCAATGTCAGCATTCACAATTTTGTGACAATTCGCACAAAGATGTAGTCCAATATTTGGTGAATCCATATGCAAGTTTGACAGTTCCTTGCACCCAAGCTGCCTTTTGCTGAGGCAGGCAACCATGAATGGTATTTGAATGTGAATTAGAGAGAAAATAGTTATATTTAAGCAAAATTTTAGAATAACAATATGGCACTTACAACTGGAAATGATGCCTGAAAATTGCTGATTGCTTTGATAGCTTCTTCATTTGGAGGAGGAAGTAAACAGTTTGCATCATTGTATGTTTTAGCATCAAGCAAATTTGTGATTTCTTCCTTGTTCAAACTAAACCTGAATGATTATGTTTAGAGCATAAATAAAAAAGTTACCAGTAAAATAAATTCATAATTTATGAAAAAAATAAAAAGAAAACTATACTTACCATTGCTTGAAAGAGAGGTCATCTGAGAGTGGAAGATTTATCAGAATTCCAGATGAATACCTTGTAATGAATGACAAAGCTGTAAAAATGATGAAATGTTTTAGTAGTAGAACACATGAAGTACTTAGAAGACAAACAGTAAAGGAATTATAATGTATAATGAAAATTTTACTATTGAATGTGGTCACTTTAACACAGAGAGCTATGATTAGAGGAGCAGTGCTAATCATATCTGCTATTTTGCTCCCTTCATCATATTCAAATTAATTCCAGAGAGTCATAAGCATGAGTTTCTTCCTGTCAGATATAAGAAAAAGCTGTAACTGCTATCTTTAAGGTAAAATGACTTAATAAAAAGGTAGTGTTCAGGTTTGATTTACTCTTCATTGACTATTATAATGTCTCTAGAAGAAGTATCCGGATCTGTCTGTTTTATTGGTAATGCCTGAATCACAAAGCCTCTGATATCTGAAGTAAAAATATTGATATGAATGTAAGCAACCAATAAAATATCAAATGATTGTCAAGTAAAGTAAAAAATAATGTAAAAAAAAATTACTGCAAAGATTATCTGAATCAGCATATTTGTGCAGATCAGAGAAGTTTGTCAGCTCAAATAAGCAAGGCAACATAGGTGGCACAGGTTCAGCATAATTTTCAATCAAAGTCTTGTAGTTCAAAATCCAGGAGCATTCATAGGCCCCAACTCTGTATGTTGGGTCAGCAGGAATGACAATTGCATTAGAAACATAATATCTTTGATAAGGCTGCAGAAATTTGCTGAAAACCTTGATGTGTTGTTCATAGGTCACAACAGAAACTTTTGTTCCCTGATTAGGATTAGGAAAAGTTAGTCACAGATATATATTGAGTTATAGCCATACCTATCATGTTGATGGCTAACATCATATTTATGACACAGAAATTAAAATTATAGGAATGAATAAAAGTTAGGTGAGTATTCACTTGCAATGAAACTATAGTTCTAATATGATTAGATGAAACTATGGTTTGTATAGATGAAAAGGTTAACTGCCATAAGTATTTGAATTGCTGCAGTTCATTAGTTTTCTGCAAATTTAGAAAATTAAGATATTGCACTCCCACATGCTGTCTGCTACAGCTGGTCTTCATGACCAGGAGAAATATGCATTTTTTCTATCGTTAAGCTTTTACAATTCCACTATCTTTTTACTGTGTGTGTCTTTTGTGAGATGTAATAAGCAATAATGTAACAGGGTAAAGAGAAATTCCATATGTATATGTTTGTGATATACTCATAAGAAAGGTTTATAATGCAAGAATAACTTTCTTATAAGGTGAAATTTTTCGGTATAAGTTTGAAAACTGACTTCTCATTCACTCTTTTTTTTTTGGTGTCACAGATTGACAACATTGTTGTTTTTCTTCTGGAACAACAAGGCCTACTTGCTAGCCGGATAGAAAAACAAGTGGTAATCATCCCTATTCTCACCTTAGGAGCAGGATAGAAAAACAGGTCCTTTAGGAGCAGCCTGCTATAAGTAAGAGATCAGAGTTCTAAATTCACTGATTACTATGTCAAAACAAGTGCTAATCATCCCTACTTGCTAGCCGGATAGGAAAACAGGGCTTTTAGGAACAGCCTGATATAAGTAAGATATCAGAGCTCTAAATTCACTGATTACTATGTCAAAACAGCTGCCAATCATCCCTATTCTCAGCTTCAGCAAATTTTCAAATATTTGGTAATGAACAGGCAAATGATTAAATGTTCATATACAGAATCTGAAATGTTCTCATTTATCAATTTAATGAGCAGAGAGACAGAAAAGTATTTGCTGACCTCAGTATCTGTGAGCAGAAAGCGCATAATTCGTCTAGGTGGAACTTCACGAGTCAGTTGGTTGTGGCCTTTGTGAACAACTTGTGCTAGAACAGGCCACTTTTCTGCTCCTTTCTGAATGTCTAGCACTGAAGATATATGTCTAGGCATGGTGACCTATACTGGTAAAGAAATCAGATAGTCAATTAAACAAAATAAAAAGGTTCTAAGAAAAAAAAGGCCATGAATGTTAAAACCTGATAATGTAATCTGTGAAGCTTTAAGAACTTCTTTATATACTATATTTTTAGTATGATGAGTGCATGATTCATCAAAATAAGTTGGCCTGATAAGCACTTTTACAGCCAAAGCTGTTTTGGCTCTTGAAAGTGCAACATATAATTGGCCATGTGAAAACATAGGTTCTTTCAAATATATACCAACAAAATCTAAAGTTTGGCCTTGTGCTTTATTTATTGTCATTGCAAAGCACAAACGAATTGGAAATTGTGTTCTCTTATATGGAACTGGATATTGTTCATCACTTGGTGGCTGCATGGAAATTCTATGTATAAAAACTTCTTTGCCACAAAAATCACCAACTGCAATTTTAGCACAAATAACATTCTTGCTCAAACTCTTTATTATCAGTCTAGTTCCATTGCATAATCCTTCGGCAGGATCAAGATTTCTTAAAAGAATTATTGGGGCATTGAGTTTTAACATTAACCTATGTGGAGGTAAATTGCTAGGTGTAAGAGTGTTCAGAAGATCAATATATTCAGATTGATGATTTTCATTCAGTGTTTCATCATAGCTTAGGTACTCAGTTAAATCTCCTGGAAATTTTTTGATCAATTCATCATTTATTTCATCTACAAAGTTATTCTTTGTAGTTAGAATTGCTCTATTTTGTGAGGAATGCAGTTTCTTTGAAGGATCTTTAAATTCAGGATACACAATATTGATTAGCTTTTCAATTGCATCAGTCTCATTATTATAGTTAACTATAATTGAAGATGGAAGTTTTACTATGTCATTCTCATCTGTTTCCTGTGTTCCATCTCCAATTTTTAAAAGAAACTGCGTGAATAAAGGATCTAATTTTGCTCTCATGTTCTCCGTTAATTGCAATTTCTCTAATTTGTGCCATAATGGAGAATTTATCAAACATGCATTTATCATTTCAGCTTTTGTTCCTTTTCTAACAACTGGTAATGTTTGTCTAAAATCTCTACCAAGTACCACTACCTTTCCCTCAAATATTTCTTCTGAATTCATTAAATCTCTTAAGAGATCATCTAAAGCTTCAATTGCTGCCTTTTTAGACATTGGTGCTTCATCCCAGATTATAAGTTTTGCTTCCTTGATCATTGCAGCTAAAGAAGTTTGTTTACTGACCTGACATGTTGCACCATCAAAGATATCTATTGGAATTTTAAATCTGGAATGTGCAGTACTTCCACCTGGTAAAATGGAAGCTGCAATTCCTGATGTAGCTGTAGCAAGAGCAAGATAGCCTTTAGATCTAACATCAGCTAACAAAGCTCTATACAAAAATGTTTTTCCAGTACCACCTAGACCATCAATGAAAAAAACACCAGGTTTATCTGAGTAAATTCTCTCAGATATGATTATGAATGCTTTTTTCTGTTTTTCATTGAGCAAGTTAATTGAATTTAAGTCAGTTTCTGAAATGACAATGTTTCTTTCTGCTCTTAATTCTCGAGTTTCATTCTCTATATTATCATAAGAGAATCTAGTGGGAATCAAATTATATGAATGTATACTTTTTCCCATGGATTGCAAAAAACCATCAATTTGTTGGAGGACATTTCTTTTCACTTGTGTACATGTCATAGCTGAACATTTGGCAAAATCTTCTGACATAGAAGATTCAAAATTTTGCCACAATGCCTTTGGGTCATTAGGACAAGAATAAACCAAAAGTGTTGCAAAAAGGCGCCTCATTTCATAGGGCATATGAAAGAGTGAGGCTTCTTGTAAACAAATTTCTTGGCTGTTATCATTTTGTAACAAGCCTCGAATTAACGCTGCCTCTTGGAACGTTTCTACTTGAACTCCATTAAAGGTTCTCAGGTCATTAAATGAAGTTGGACATCGAACCTTTGATAAAAGTAATCTCAAGTAGTATCGTTCTCCTTCAGAAGGATGAGCAGTCATTATTCGCCCTATTGATTCACCTCTTTCTCTCAATTTCCAGTATTTTTGCTTAGGTAACCAGACAAAATGATCAGGGAACTCTACATAAGTACAATTTAGATCCCGAGCTGCTTTATCTGTCCTATTCATGTAAAAAAATTCAGTGAGCATTGTTTTTTTCAAATGATAGTTATTGACAACATTTTGAAGATTAGCTGTTTTTTTGAAACTCATTGGCTGATAATTTTCCAAATGCAATTGTAAATGAATAATAGCTGGCTTTATTTCACTCATAGAAAATCTAAAGATTCTCCATGCTGCCTCAGGTGGAGAAACCCACCTAGCTGATACATATTGTTTAATTTCATCAATTTCTGAATCAGGTTTATTATTTACTACACAAAAGTTAGTTCTATCATGACCTTTATAGATATACTTGTAAATGTATTTGACTGCCTTAATTGTAGAACATATTTCAACATTAAGATGGCAATCAAATTTAGCCAAAAGATATGGATTGTATGGTACAACCCATCTGTTATCTAAAAGAGCTGATTTGATCTTAATTTGAACTCCATCATCTCTCCTTCGATATTCAGGATATGCATTAAGAGTTTGGATAGTTTCCTCACAGAAATTTTTAGGAAAATTATTCTTGCAAGTTCCATTTTTTCTCATGCATACATTTGTTGGATCAAGTGAACCACATGGTCCATGAAGCATATGTTTAATAACCAAATTATATAGATGTTCGTTTTTCTCTTTATTTGGTATCTCAGCACAGACAATTTTATCATATTCTTCAGGAGTATACATCTTGAATTTTGACTTTAAAATTAGCAAGAAGTGTGTATGTGGCAGTCCACATTTTTGGTATTCAATGACATAAGTGTAAGCTGCCACTTCACCAAAGATGCATTTTTTCAGAAGTTCATCTTTAAGCTGTTCTAACTTAGCATGAAATACTCTAGCAAGCAAATCTGGTCTGTTTTGTGCTTCTTCTTTGTCTATTAAGTGTTCTTTTATTTCTGGCCAATTAGGATTGCAAGTCATGGTCAGAAATATATCCGGTTTACCATACTTCTGTACTAATGTCATTGCATCCATGTATTTACGTCTCATATTTCTCGGCCCTCCAATAAATGATGGCGGTAATATGATACGTTGGCCAACATTAGATGCTTGACTCTCGCCTGATCCTAAAGCATCTATTATGCCTTTCAAGAACTCTCTCCTAATTTCCTCTTGTTGTAATCTATAAAAGTCAAGTCTTTGTGTCTCAAGCTTCACATATTGATCAACAATATATTGTTGTAGGAGGCGAGCAAAATGTAATAGCCAAGATTCATCATTGTCCCTAATCTGAAGTTTATAACAATAATATTCTCGAAGGGACACAAAATTTGGATCTTCATGTATGTTTTCCATTGCTGTGGAAAAAATAATAGTACATTATTAAATGTGTAATCATAAATATTAAATAGGTAAAATGAAAGATCATGGTATATAGTTATTATACTAACCATGTTCTTCATTTTGGATTAGTTGTTCTACTGTAGCAGCATTTTCAGGGGAAATGAAATCTGCCACAGGTTGCCTTTTTTTCCCCTTTCTTCCATTTACTTTTGCTCCTTTCTTTGGTATTCCTTGGTGCCAGCCAAGATCACCAAAAGGAAAAAGTATTGGATATTGGAGTGGATCATAACATCCATAATAGTATTGTATATTTTTTGAAGTGCCACTATGGGTTTGAACTCTAATATCACGCCTGCTGGTTTCTCCATTTTCTTGCCCCTCAACCCACAAGCTTGCAACTTGTGAAGTTGTTGGTCTATTATAGACTCTTTGATCAACACCAGGTAGAGTTTTTAACACAATGTAGTAGTTATCTAAATTAGGTATTTCTCTCAAATTTCTAAAGAATTTTGCATATGGGTTAGCCTCAAAAACTTGCATAATTTTCCTAATCACAGTTTCGGATAGTCTAGGACAAGCTGCTAATCGATTGTTTACTTCAGTTTCAAAGTCATTGAAATATAACTGCAAGTTATTATTATGACCATTGCTTGAACTGAAATCATTCAGAAAGTGATATACCTGTCCTTGAATTCTAAAAGTGTAAATTCCTTTATTCCTTTTTGATAAATTCTGATCAGCTTTAACACCAAAGGAAGTGAATCCAAAATGATTATTATATGTTCTAATAAGAGTTCTAAAAGATTGTGCCTCTTGTGAAGATGAAGTTAATAACTCTTTAAAGATATCTGGAATTTTATTTTGAGTCAAAACAACTTCACCATCTTGACAACAAAAATATGCTGTCTCAGAAAAAAACTTCTTGGCTCCGCAATGAGGACAATCTAGTTGGGTTGGTAGGATATCAGCTTTGTCAGGAATTATATCCAACAAAGCTCTTCCTGTTTTGCACTTTCTTCCTAAAATACAATTATTTGAGAGCATTTAGCAATCAAACCATTCAATTGATTTTAATGGCAGTGGAGAAAAACATATTAGAAAACTTAAAAGTATTAACTCTAGACCTGGCTGAGCTTTTTTGAGAGATGATTTGTGATGCTTCGAACGACATCGAGAACTACGCTGAACACCAACAACTGAGGAACACTCATTAACAATTGTGGTGCTTGTTTGCTTTTCAGTTATATTTGTAGAAGCAATTGATCTAGACTTTGCTCTCAATCTCTTCTTTTTCCATCTAAAGTAGGCATGTCTTCTATATTCTTTCTTATTTATCATCTCTTTAGCATAAATGTCAGAATATTCAAGAGGCCTGTTATTATAAGATATAACTGGAGTACTACCTATTATAGGTATATGTCTATTCACAAAGAGGGGAGGAGTATAATTAGTTAGTTGCATGTTTAGGCCTGATATTTCAGAACAAACATTTCTCCCTTTAACATTTGTGACTTGCTCACTCTGAAACTGATTTTCTATAACAAATGATTGCTCATTGCAGTTAACTTGTGATGAACCAGCAGGCTGAACATCAGACAGATTAATTAAAGATGAATTGATTGGGAGCAAAGAATGATTGTCAATAGAATCAGAGGTATAATGAATTCCTCCAATATTTTCTGAAGGAAACCAAACATTTTTACCTCTGCAGTCATTCGGCAGAATTAGGTTCCTATCGATGTGATTTTGTGAAGCACATGTTTCAACAAAGTGGTTTTCACGAATGTCATTCTCACAGTTGATAGTAAAAGGAGAATATGGCTCATAAACAGAAGAATCGAGACTAAACTTCATATGCTCAGTCAGCATATTTAAGTTTGTCTTTTTGTTTCTTTCCAACATTCTTAGATCAGGGGAATCATCAAACATCTCATCTATCAATCTAAAACCTGTACTAAATTTTTTTTTTTTTTTTTTCATTTTGAAACACAAAAAATCAAAATGTAATTTTATTATAAACAAAGCAAGATGCTAATCCAAAGGCACACAAAATGACAGAATCAAAGCATCCTAGAATAGCTAAAACTAAGTAATATATATAAAATGACAACCTTAATAAGCCAAAGGACAATGATACTAAATGATGTAATTATTGAATAGATAAGCAGCTAACAGCATCATGCAACATTTGAAATAAAAAACAGAGGGAAAAGTAAACTATCATAGCATAACATCAAACACATCGCATTCCTTAATTAAGAGAAAGCAATAAACAGAGGCAACAACAGTGAAAAAAAACTTGCAGTTCAAAATAGAAGGTGATAAAATAGAAACATACATATATTTTCTTTGCTCGCCTGAATGTTGGCAAAAGTCCGGCAGCATTTGAAAATAATATAAAAACAGAGAAAAAAAGTAAACGTAACCTAATCGAAAAAATAGCATCATAATTATTCTTTTATGTATAATATCAAACACATGGCAGTCTTTAATTAACGGAAGGTAAGAACATGGAAATAAATATAAATAAATAAACAGAAGGTAAGAACATTCATCAAACTAAAAATTGCAACTTAATATGCTGACTGAAAAATTGACAGAAACTAAAATTAGTTGCTCAAACTAAAATTTGCAGCTCAGTCATCAAACTAAAACTAAAAAATTGCAGCTCGAAATAGAAGGAAAGAGAATAGGAATTACCTAGATTTTCTTCGCTCGTCTGCTGAATACCGGCAAAACTGGGAAACAGAGGTATATATGGAGCTGGAAGTAGTAAGTTCTGAAAGCTGTACCATAGATGATAAGTTGGTAGAACAGCCATCCCTAAAATGAGCTGATTTTGGGAAAAAAGAGATTTGAGTGAGTTGTTTTTTGGGGAAAAAGAAGAATTCACGCGAATGTGGATGATTTTTTGAGAGGCAATCGAAAGGAAGTACAATTAGTTGGTGGAAGTACAATTAGTTGCTCGAGAAATTGGCAGAAAATTGAAGATTTTGCAGGCTTCTAGATTTTGGGGGAAAAAATTTTACTGACCTAATTTTTGGGGCAGGACAAAATTCACGTGTGTGTGGAGGATTTTGTGGGTTGCAATCAAAAGGAAGGACAATTGGTTGTTGAAGGAATTGGTAGAAAACTGAAAATTTTGCAGGCTGATTCGACGGGAAGAAAGCGGCTATTCGAGAGAAAGAAAGAGGCTATTCGACGGGAAAAAAAGGAAAGGGAAAAATGGGGAAGAAAATTCTGGTAAATGAAGAAGAAGGAAGCTCGATGACTAATAAGACCATTAAGCTGGTGTTGACTAACTTACATCATGAGTCATCAGTCATACTAATCATGCTAACAGGCAGGAACATTACTTCTAACGGGTATGACTGCATTAATTTGTATAATTATATAATTAATAATATAATGTAATTCAAAACAGCCCATGTGATAAAAAAATCCACAAATAAAAACCAATCAAAAGGAACAAATAAAAATAATTATATAATGTAATTCAAAACAACCCATACTGTAATTCAAAACAACCTATGTGATAAAAAAACCCACAAATAGTCTACAATTATTTGCATTTGACCAGAAAATTATAAAAGAGATATTTTCAAATATACAAAAATAACACTAAATAGTTAGCAACTATTTAATGAGCTAGTTTTGATAAAAAGATTCAATTGACCTTTCAAATCAATTAAAAACCAATCAGAAGGAACAAATGAAAATAATTATATAATGTATTATATAATGTAATTCAAAACAACCCATGTGATAAAAAGGTTCACAAATAGTCTACAATTATTTGCATCTGACCAGAAAATTATAAAAGATATATTTTCAAATATACAAAAATAACCCTAAATAGTTAGCAACTATTTAATGAGGTAGTTTTCATAAAAGGATTCAATTGACCTTTCAAACCAATTAAAAACAAAACAAAAGGAACAAATGAAAATAATTAAATCATTGTTACCAATTAGCCCCTAAATAGTAAGAACTATTAAGACCTTTAATTTCAAGACCAAGGCTCAAATAGGCATTTCTCACTCTTTAAATCCCAAAAATCAGAAAACAAACTCCTTCCTAACTCCTTCCTCTAACAATATATTGACACTTGGCATTCAAGGGAGAACTTGAGTTGTTCTCTTATCTAGTAGGTAGATAATAGTGGTATCAAAAAGGCATTTATACCCTAAAAGTTAACTATGGTAAATCCCTTTTCCACTTTTTGCACTTTATTCCCTAATATCTTTATCAATTTGTTTGTTTTTTATTAAAATCATTTGAGAACTCTAATATTTGATAACACCAGCATAAATAATATCTAAAAAATCAATATTTCTAACATAATAATAAAACAATATTTTTATATATATGGTCCTCATTAAATTTGATTCCAGAGTGGCACTTTTTTTTTAGATTGAGAAGAATATCTTGCTAATTTAACTTAATAATGGGAAAAAGTAAACAAAAATTGTTACTAAAAATTAAAATGTGACAATATTTTACAAAAATTGTTACTAAAAAATTAAAATATGAAAATATTTTAAAGTCTAAAATGATCAGGATATTTTCAATTTCTCTTTGGAAATATACATATAGTTAAACTTTTCTTTTGGTAATTAGGTGTTTTCTTTGCATGGAAGTATACATTTTTTTTCTTGCTAATACTAAAAAAACAGAAACATGGTTGATTTAGAGTTCAAAATTTCTAGTTGTTCCTTTAGTATTCCATGCTTAGATGCTATTAAAATTTATTTAGATTGATAAATTTTTCATAAAAATTTTTTAATTATATCTAAGCATATTTTTTAATCGTCTTTTTTATTTTCAATCAACTTTTTATCTCACAAATATCAAATTGCAAATAGTGCTATTATTCTAAAAAATTTTAATATAATCTCCAATTCAAACAAACCCTTCTATAGACCTTTAATAATATTTCTTATAGTTTAGTTTTGCACTAAAATTTTTTCCCTTACGTGAGAGATATTTTCTTTTGTCTTTTTTTTTGTCATTTATCACTTATCTATTTTATTCCTACTCCTATCTAGTTTAGCCTAAGGGGGGCCCAACTGGCCCTATAGGTGAATCGGCGGGAATTGAACCACCATCGGACCAAACAGGTACACTATGCAGCCGTATGGATTTGAGGAAACCATGTATTGTGGCAAGTGATGGGAGATAAGGTTTGAACCCTTGATCTTCCACCCGACCAAGACATAAAGTCTTTGGTGGCGGCCATGGTTTCTTTTATCTAAAAACCAATAATTATGGAAATAAATTTAACAAAATATATATCTATAAATATATAATATTTTTCATTATTATGTTTGGGATATTAATTTTTTAAACATTATTTGTTTTAAGTAATACAAAATATTAGAGTTGGCTAATGGTTTTAGAGACAAATAGACATATTAAGAGAAAAATGATACTAGAGAGTAAATGCAAAATGGCCATACCTTAAGAGGATTTATTGTAATTAACCCTTAGGGGTATCAATATCTATTTGATATTTCCGTTACACAATGTTAGAGTTAACTAACGGTCTAAGGGGTAAAGTGAGAAAAAATTAAGATTAGGGGGTAAAGTGCAAACAAGTGCAACCTTATGGGGAGTTTTTGTAATTAACCCTTACAATTACGTGCTAATTAAAATATCTATACTTAAATTTAAGAGATTAGGTGGGGTAATTAGTTAATTGATCCACTGAGACAAACATGTGTGTTAAATTTAGGCGATTAGGTGGTATGGATAATTATAACTTGAAAAAATACCTATCAAATTACAATTACGTGCTAGTTAAAATATCTATGCTTAAATTTAAGAGATTAGGTGGAGTAATTAGTTATAATTTAAAGAACCCTATTGACAAGTTATCGATGCCTGTGTAATAATAAAAATAAACCTCGTTGCCAATTAAAATAATCAAAACTCAATTCTGAGTACTGGAGCAGGGACTCTAGGTGTGCAATGGGTTACTTGATTCACCATATTCCCAAAAAGTTTGCTTAACCCGATATACCAGAATGGACTGCTTATTCACAAGAAATTATTGATTTGTAAACAGAGCAAGTAGGGTCGTATTCTCAGAGATTGGGGTAAATTCGTTTCTTTTCCAATTCACAATAACAATGGGGTGTTTTTGTATATGTTGATCTTGATCTCTATCTTTTGATGTTTACAAAATAATGGATAATACTAATGTCTCTTCAAGAAATATTTTCAGTTATGAAACAAATCAGATTCAAAGATCAAGTACAATTGAAAGGGACAAAGGCTGCTAAAAGCTGTCGGACGCTTGGATTGGACGTCCGATAATCATTGCGCAACTTCGGACGCATGAAGAACTCCACCACCGGACGTCCGAAGGAAATAAGACATTTTCCCTGGCTCACTAACTTCGATCGGACGCAAGCATCGGACGTCCGATAGGATCCTTCAAAGTTGACGAAATCATCGGACGCTGAATATGTCTCCACCGGACGTCCGATAGAAACAAGATGATTTCTCAAATCTCTTTGTTTGCTGTTGGACGCACAAAGAGCTTGCACCGGACGTCCGATAGAATTGAAGAAAATTTCTCAAACTCACTGCCTGGTGTCGGACGCTAAAAACAAGAGTACCGGACATCCGATACTTCAACGGCTAGTTAACTGTTCAGCTACTTTCTATCCGTTGGAAGTATTAATGAAGCACTTTGTTGGTTTCCTATAAATAGAGTATGGTCAGAATCTTCAAATAACTTTTGCACACTGAAGATACAAAAGATTTAGAGTAATTTTAGTGAGAAAACACTCTACAAGAAAGATTTGTAGTCTTAGTGGTGTGAGATTCATTGTAAGCTTTTCATTTGTGAGTGAATATTTCATGAGTGTAGCTCTGTGAGATTTGTCTTGAGGGATAGTAAAACTTTCTAGTTTAACCGAGTG